TTTTTGCATCCCAGACCGATCGCATTTCATTCGTCTGTCTCATGCCACGACCGAAACTAGCACCGGATCCACCAGCACAGCTTCCAGTCAACTCTGGTCCTCTGGTGAACCGATGTCTGCAGAACTGTCCACTAGACTCTCCCGTATAATGTCTGAGCGTGTAGACTCGGATATGCCACGTAATTTGTCTGTTGGACGTATGGGTGAGTTGTATGTGTATCATCGACTCATGGAGCTGGTCCGACGTCATCGTGAGCGTCACTCAAATTTTGATCAGATGGTCGACCTGGAATTTCCCACAGGGCATCCGATCCTCGGCGTGGGGCGGATCGTGCGTTGTCACTGGGCAAACGCAGACATCGAATCTCGTCGACCGTTCGACTTGGATATCGATGTACAAGGTAAGTGGTCCCCGAAATCAGTAAGATGTATGCACATCATGGACCTTTTTATAAAGATTATTGTACCGTGCTTTGTTTGACACAGTTTCTATGGAAAACTAATGCATGTGTTCTCATCACTGTTTCGTTTTAGAGGTGTGTCATATGATCACGTTGTCAACTTAATTATTTGACCCTTGTGTAACTTGACGGACAGTTAAAAGTATTAAAGAGTAAGCTGAAACACGGAAGGTCAGCGTATTGTGTTTCTCAGCTGGTTCATTTGACGGACTCATATGTTGTGACAAACCAGCTCTTTGTGGTATGTCCTCTCTGAAACCCAGTTTCAATCTATTTTCACCTATAAATGAAATGGTTATTCCAGGTCAGTTCTCTACTCTTCTGGACATCTGTTTGGTTGATTAGAAAAGCAAATCTCCACGCTGATCACCGCAGGTATAAAAACTACCTTTCAAATGAAACTATACAATGTACTCTGTTCGCAACATCGAGGCCTTCATTGTACGGCTCATTTTATTGAGCGTTGCATTTCCCAAGTGTAGTCGGTATTTTGATCGATCGGATCGATCTGTCCCAAAATTCAGATTCGTGTTAGGCTAGCTCATGCTTGCAACAGTCTTGTTCCTTCACCTACTACTGAGCTGATGTTCGTGCCCCATTCACAAGTAGTGTGATCTTATTATTATTTGAATATTGAACTTTTCCCGGGCGAAAATTTGTCTGAATCAACGCACAGGTATTGGTGCACTCTCATTTGGGGATACGGCTACTCCATAGGATTTCTGGGATAGCGTGAGTTATAATGTACCCGTATCTATCAACCATTTTAGACATCCGAATGTGTAGCGCTGTTATGGATCGTACCAGAGATCCTGTTTTTTTCTTTATAATTAGTCTTGGAATTGTACTTTCCCTAATGTACCAGTGTCAGCTGATCTAGTTATTTAGTGTTGTCGTCTGTTTTATCCATGTATAGTGTCTTCTTCGTCATCGTTGGATTGTTTTTTGGTGTCTTGGTGATTTTCAGGTTGTGTTTGTGAGACATGGCCACTTTGTACTA